CTCGCTCGTCGCTCGCCCAAAAACACGCATAATCAACACACATAGCCGGCGCACTCGATGTTCTGCGATGGACCAAGGGTGCACGAGTTCATCCAGGAGATGCATCGCGAAGTGCTCAGCAAGTACGACACAATTACCGTCGGCGAGACGTGAGTTACTCGGCCAGCCGCTCATACATACGCACGGGGGGGGGGGCAACGAGCGTGCGGCGTTGCTGATACTTCTCTCCTCCCCCCCCCTTCTTCCCCTCTTCATTACGCTCCTTCCTCATTCGCTGGCCGTTTCTCCATCCATCTGGGCTCGCTTCGCTCGGCCCTCCCCGCACGCAACACACACAGGCCGCACGCCAAGCATCCCGACATTCTGCTGCCGTGGACACATCCGGCGCGCAACGAGCTGCGCACCTGCTTCACATTTGATCTCGTGAGCAGCCACGGCGTCGGGGGGGGGGGGGGCAGGGCAGAGCTGCAACGCCCCCTCCGTGAGGGGGGTTCTGACCTGCTTCTTGCCTTTGCCAGCATGACGAGGACGGCAATCAGCAATGGCCTCTGTACGTCTCTTTTCTTTGGCTGGCCTGGCCCAACCCTCTGCGTGCCCACATCTGACACGCGCGCCCCTCTCCTCTGTGCTCCCCCGCTACCCAGCGTTCCGAAGCCGATCCACCTGCCGCACTTCAAGGGCATTGTCAACAAGTGGCACACGTACGTGCATCGTTCCTCTGCCTTTCTCGCAAACTACGTCGAAAACCACGACCAGCCGCGCTCCATCTCACGCTGGGCCTCGGACGCGCCCGCGCACCGCCGCCACGCCGGCCGCATGCTGGCGCTCTTCCAGTGCTCCCTCTCGGGCACGCTGTACTGCTATCAGGGCCAGGAGGTACGCCCCCTTCTCCGGGGCACGCGCCTCTAGGGTCTATCCACACTGATATCAAGCGCGCTTGCAGATTGGCATGAAGAACATTCCGCAGGACTGGGGAATCGAGGAGTATCTTGACTGCGCCACGATCAGTGAGTTGCGCAGCCACGCAGGGCACGCATGAGGGGTGCGCATGCTGACGCGCTGACCTCGCCTGCCCCCCTCTTTTCCTCACCTCTCCTCCCTCAGACTTCAACAGGATGTGCCAGGATCTCACGGCGCAGGGCAAGACTGCGCCTGCGCGTCCCGAGGATGTTCTTGCCTTCGCTCAGCGCAAGGGTGAGTCCTTATGCCGCGCGCCGTGCCACAGCGGAGCCCATGGTGCGCTCGCTGACCCCGCATTTGCTGCCCGCCAGCGAGAGACAACGCTCGCTGTCCAGTGCAGTGGAGCGGCGCTGCTCAAGCCGGCTTCACGAGTGGCAACAAGGCGTGGATGCGCGTGCAAGAGGCCGACGCCGCCGCCGGCTGGAATGCCGCGGCGCAGCTCGCGGATCCCGGCAGCGTGCGCGCCATGTGGAAGGCGGCCCTCGCGGCACGCAAGAAGTACAATCTGCACCTCGCAAACTTCAACCTCCTCGTCCCCGCCGACGAGCGCGTGTTCGCCTACGTGCGCAACCCGCCGCACGGCGCCTCGGTGCTGGTGGTGATGAACTGGAGCGCCGAGCTCGTCGAGGACGTGACGCTGGCGCCCGACGCGGCGGCGCAGGCTCAAGCCGAGGAATCGCTCGAGTTCAAAAGCGCCGAGCCCATTGCGTCGCTGCACGACCTCGAGAAGCGCGCGACTCTCGTGCTGGGCAGCCATGACGATGCACAGACGCATGCGCGCTGGAAGGGACAGACGCTCAGCGCGCTGAGGCCTTACGAAGGACTGTGGTTCGAGCTGCAGTAAGGGCGCAGCGAGTGGGGGCCCCGGGGGGGGGGGGTGCGGGGGAAGGGGGAAGGGAGCACCAATTCAATTGCGCAAATCGAGTCCTACATCCTCGCACAGCACCCATCGTACGTTTGGGCGCTCCTGCTCCTGCTCCTGCTCCTCGTTGGCATGCATCTGCTTGCGGGCAGGCAGCAACATGGCGCTCCAGCCCGCCGCGCCGCCGTCCTCGCCCGCGCCCGCCGCGCCCGCATGCTCGTTCTCGCCGCCGCGCACGTGGCCGCGGCGCTGGACGCGCTTGGCTCGTGCGCGCCGAGCGGCAGGCCCGGTGCCGGAGGCGCGGCGAGCAGGGCGACGCAGACGTTGAGAGGAAGCAGAGGAGGAGCTGCTGCTGCTGCTGCTGCTGCTGCTGCTGTCGCAGTCGGAGAAGGAGGGCGAGGCAATGGCCGACTCTTCGTCGTCGTCGTCGTCGGAGGAGGAGGAGGAGGAAGAGGAGACAGAGTTGGCCGAATCAGCGCCGCCGCGCGCTTGCATGTCGAGCAGCACTTCCGACTCTGGCTCCTGGCCGGGCGAGGCAACTTGCCCTTGCTTCTTGCCCTGTTGCTGCTGCTGCGTCTGTGCACCGCCACCACCGTCGCCTCCTCCTCCTCCTCCTCCTCCTCCTCCTCCTCCTCCCCGCGTTCTTCTTCTTCCCTTCCAAACCACTCCCGTTCCTCCCCACGCCGTCGCGGCCACATGTGCCCATTCTCCCGTCCTGTCCACATGCGCACGCACGGCGCACAGCACGTCTTCGACGAGCGCCGTGGAGAGGAGGCCCTCATACGTGATGAGTGTTGCCGCGCCCGCGGCGTGGCAGGCAACCGCCGTCGTCGTCGTCGTCGTCGTCGGCGAGTATGCTTGTGCGCACGTGGGACGCGCATATGTCTTGATGCTGGCGCCGCCGCACAGGGCAAACACACGTCCCCCATGCGTCAGTTTGTGTGCAGACAGCAGAGGGGAGAAGAGGGCAAAAGGGGGGGGGGGGGGAAGAAGGCAAAGAAAAAACTTACACGTCGGAATCGAGCGATGCAAACGCAACCCAGGCAGAAAGCTCCTCCCAATACTCGGCGAGCGCCGCACGTCGCTGCGACATCATCGACGTCGACGTCGACGGCGACGGCGACGCCAGCGCGGCGGCAAGAGAGTCGCAGGGAGACGAGGGCAGCCAGATGGACGGCAGCGACGTTGTAGATGGAGAGAGGGGCAGGGGACGATGAGGCAGAGGAACTGTGGGCGTGCCGGCGAAAGAGGTGAAGGTGAGAGAGAGGCCTTATTCAAAGCAGTCCTGTCTCGCTTCTCTTCCCCCCCCCCCCCTTCCCAACTCAGCTGCTCGTTTCCGCGCGCAAAAAAAAAAAACTCACATGCCTCGCCCTCCCAGTTCGCCACGGCTTGCCAAGGCAGTGCATGTAGTTCATCCAGTCTTATCAGCGCCTCCTTTGTCCTTTCGAAGCCCTTCCTCCCCGGCTCAAAGCTCGGCGCATTCAAGTCGAGCACGACGGCATAGCGCTCCGCTGACCCCGAACGGCGGTCGGAAAAGCGGCCCGAGGCGACGCGCGTGAAATGCGAGGGCACGCCGACGAGGCCGAGGGAGGTGTAGAGGGTGCGAGGGAGGGAGAGATGGAGAAGACCTAGCACACACACAGAAGAGGGATTGGTGAGAATGAAAAAGAGAAGTGACTGAAGCGAAAGGCAGCTGGAAGTGGGCCCACTGCATCGCCCCCCCTCTCTTCTCCCCCCTCCCCT